AGACACAATATATGGAATGCAAGTTTAGAAATAGTATGAGTAGGAACTTGGAATTAGTTTAGAATGTGGCCAAGAAATACCTAAAAGAGATTATTTTTAGTATCTTGGGTCAACAATCTAGGAGAATCAAGAGATTGAGGAAGATTTCGTGCGTTGAATTAGAGCTGGGTGGACGAAGTGAAGATGCTTGGAATTTTATGTGATCACCGCATACCAATGAAACTAAAGAGGAAGTTATATAGGATTGCTGTAAGAACAACCATGCTTTATGGGATGGAATGTTTGACGGATCAAGAAACAACATATTTAAAGGATGAGTATGGATGAGATGAAGATGTTGAGATAGATGAGTGGCAAGAAAAGAAAGGATAATATTCAAAATGAATATATATATATATATATATATATATATATATATAAGGGAATTTAAGGATTGCTCCAATAGGCAATAAGATGAGGAAAAGTACACTTAGGTGGGCTGGCCATGTGCAACATAGACCTAATGCAACACTAGTTAAGAGAGGCAATTTGGTTCAAGTAGAATGCTCTAAAAGGGGAAGGAGAAGGCCCAAAAGGAGATGGAAGGAAGTAGTGAGAAGAGATATGGTGATTTGTAGTTTAACTGAGGGTATGGCCCTTGGCCCTTGATTCGACAGAATGACAAAACATGATTTGTGTAGCGGACCCCAAATTGATGGGATAAGACTCCGATGATGATGATAATGATTTCAAGAAAACTTTTATGCTTTGTGAATTGGTGGGAACTAAACAAGTTAACGTGTTTTCTTTAATGGAAGGGATTTGAGGGAGGCAGACATGAACCTTATATCACCATTGGAAGGCTTGTAATGAATTACCAAATGGGTACTAGTTTTATGGTTACTTGTGGCCAAGTTTCGACGTGCCCTACTATGTGTGTAGTGCATATGTGGGAACTATTGGCATTGTAAAGTAGTGCATATGTGGGAACTATTGGCATTGTAAAGTAGCAATTTTGGTAGATTTTATTAAAACAAACATGTATGAGAGTATAAAAATAACAAGAATTTATCACATCAGCAATGGTGATGCACCAAAAGAATCAATAATATTTATGCAGCTTCTTTGACTTGTTGGTTATCTCTATTTGTCCATGAGGTGACCCATTTTTATTTGATGCATCCACCACCGCATTGACTTCCCAATACATTTTCTGAAATAAGATCATCGTTCATGTCTCAGCTAATCTACCCCAGAAAAACGAAATGCCATCGCTGTTGATGAGATTAAGAATCGCTTTGGTCATGTCTACCATCATATCCATATCTGGCGGTCAGCTTGCTCACCATCCTTTTTAGATTAAGTTCCACTTCTACTATTGTGCATACAGAAAATGACTTAATGAATATCGTGAGACTGTCAGTGCAACTGAGTGTCCTTTGTGGTGTCAACCTTCTCCAAGTGGACCATCACAAACCTTTTTGATCACTTGTAATATTCTTGGTTAATCCTCGACCCCATATCGGAGCTGGATTCCAAGGATTTGCCATCATGTTTCTTCGATATAACCCTAGCATCTTCACATTCCCTTGTTTGTTTTTTGGGGCCTGTGCTGTCCATGTTAATCTTGTATCACTCACAAAATCCTTGAGCTGGTTTTCCTAATCACTAATTAAGAGCCTCATACTGTATCATGTTATCCTTTTCTAAATATTCTATTAAAACGCCCCATGTAAACCCAGTCTTGGTGGCATAGATTCCACTTACAGAGTGGGACAGATCATCACCCAATCAATTCTAAAAGGAGACTCGATAAGCAATTCCAGATTTCTCTCACTCATGATGAACCACTATGTGCTCCATAGTCACCCAAAATATACTGATTTGAATTTCCTTCTTGGAGATGGTTATTGGTGAGGATTTCATTTATGATTCAACCATTTTATCCTGCTTCTTGCTGCATACTCTCTTTACCGCGGACTAGTAATGTGCTACAGTTGTTCTATATAGCGCATTGCAGTAACAGTTAATTGTGAAGACTTCGCGAAACCTTTGTTTGATGAACCTGGTAGTTGAGGTGGTGCTCCTGCCCTGGAACCTTGATTCTGCTCCATCTTTAAAACCACCAAGTCCAAAGTTAAAATAGCATTCCATAGCCACTTCCTGCTCTAATCCTCACTGCTATCTGCATTCCTTGTTTCTCACTGCTTCATTTTCTCCAAGGCTTCTGATCCTCACTGCTATGTGGAACATGTTTTGGATGGATGTGGCTATGGTATGGGATGGTAGTGGTAGATGTGGAGCTACTCATAGAGATTGTCTTATGGTGTTTATGGATTGGGTTGATTCCAGGCTTGGCTTTGGATTATTGTGCATGGGAACATGAAGGCTGATTTGATAAATTTGGTAAATTTTATGAGACTTGGTGTAACATTTTTATCGCTCTTAGCTTGAGTGCTCCATTTTTTTTCATGATTCTTGAACTTTGACCATTCATTGTTCAGTATCTCATAGTGCTTTTAAGAGGAACAAATTGTTCAGTATCTCCTGGTCGCTCTCTCTCTCTCTATGTTTCTTTTTTTTTTTTAAATGGACAAGAAATTTTGATGAAGCTGCTCTTAAATTTTCTTAATCTTTCTTGGAATTGTGCCACGTGATTAGGAGATGTTTGGATCTTAGGTTTGAAGCTGCTAAGGTGATTGACCTCTATTGCAGATGTTTGGATTTGGCCATTTATGGCCCTTCTTGTCGCTAATTCCCAGATGTTTAACTCCTTTCTGGACGTTATCTAGATTTCAGAAAGTCAAATTTCAAGTCTGGTTAATTTAATGAGGTTTTGTTAGACTCAGAAATGATATTGAAAGATGAATTTCCTTCTTTTTGAATTTGAAGCAACATCTTGAGAGTTTGAATTTATATGCCGTATTGAAATCTTTCTAAATTCTGACATGGTTTTCCTAATTTGAGTACTTATCTTTCAAGATAATTAATAGCCTTAAACAAGCATATTGAGTTAGTTGCCTCCCCGTCTCTTGTCTACTTTGTCTGAAGCTGTAATGGCCTAACATGGGAGTATGCATGTGGTATGTTTGGAGGGAATAACTGGCCTCCATCAAGAATATTACTGGATCAAGTCCCTTTGGGTACCCATATCTACTCTGGATCTACTTCCAAAATACTCTTGGATGGGTTCCTTCTTTCTGGGCATCTTCTTAGATCCACACTTTATCGGATAGTTTCTTTGATTTGTACTTGGATGGGGGTACTTCTTTATGTGGGCAGTGTAGTGGTTATTCCATGGAGCAAAATATGAAGTTCCTTAGTAGTGGGAAGTTTAGTGGTTACTCCTTGTAGGAAAATATGAAGTTCCTTAGTAGTTACTCCCATGAATGACTGTTATCCAGCTAGAACTCCACTATGGTGGCCTTTTGGTGAACACATCAATGATGCCCATTTGATTGTCATAAAAGTCTCTCTAGTAGGCTTGGGCCTTGTCCTCAGCAGTGAAGCCGCTGATATGCTCTGGGTGGGCAAATGTAGTTGCAGTGCACATCCATCTTGACACGTTGGATGTGAGGGTTCTTACCCATCCTGAATCTTTTGCAACTATGCATTAGTTGAGACCTTGCATAATTGTTTCAAAAAAAAAAAAAAGGTTTGCAAATTCATTTTTGAATTGATTAGGAGACAAGTTCCTATACTGTTCAGTGTGTTCTGTGACATTTTATGGGAGCAACTGGATTAATGGAGCATCTGGCCTCTGGAACTCAGGGCATTGCCCATTGAAGTATTCATGTGATTGATGGGATTAAATGCAAAATGCGGGTGGAGTATATCTGCAGTGAGGTGGTAGTATGCAATTCAAAATATATGTTAATTGCGTGAGGTGGTTGTGTTTGCAATCTGCACTTCCTTTTTTTGACCACATCTCTCTGACTCTCTTAATGAGTAGGCTATTCCTTAGTGACTCTACTGCAGTAATTTCTCTTTCCGGCTTCTCTCCTTAATCTGCTTTTTCCAGTCTCTCTAACCTTTCCTGTCTTTTTGGACAACTTGGCTAATTCTTTATCTCGGTAGGTGTGAATTCCTTGGTGGAATGCATTACTGACAGTGCTCTTGTTGTGGCCATAGAATACAGTTGGAAAGATGGGGGAATCCCCTTACAACAAAATGCAAATTGCCTCTTATTTGCAGTGTTGTTCATGTCGGCACCATTGGGCTAGGGGTATGGCAAACCAAAGCCTAAACTGGGGATTGGAGTGCTTTTCCATACGAAGCCTAAATTAAAACCCTGATCCTCAGTGTTGCACAACACGATTTTCCAGCTGAGTTATGGGCTCGAACCCTTGTCTGTGGTTTTCCAGTTTAACTACCAAAGTATTACCAATCCAAGGTTTGTGTTAAATGGGGATCTTTCAATGCCATTGTAGTCAATGTATTTTATTTATTTATTTATTGTGTTTTGATAACTAAGATTACTCTTTTAATTAGGCCAATTTTGGACCTTCAGTGATAATTTTTTGACCAATTTATTTTTCAAATTGGGGTAACTGTGAACCTTATCACCACTGCAAAACACCTTTCTTATAATGAAGATTCCATACTAGTAGCTAATCTTGGGGAGGCAACATAGAAAGTGCTGGGTGTTGTATATCTAGAATTTCCATGAACTGTAGAATCCATGTCAAATTTACTATGAAATATGGTCATTAGTTTGCTTAAGAGATGCACAACTGCAGTTAATATCTTGGTCGTTTCAGTAAAACTTTGTCATTTGTGTAAAAGTATGCATATTCGTAAATAGGTGACTGAAAAATGAAGGTTTGCTTGTGTAGTTGTATTTGATTTCACAGTTTGGTTGATTTCTGATAATGTTTTCCTTTGGAATGCCAGTCAGATTGTGTTGCTTTTTGAGTTATTTGTGGGTTTAACTAAACAAGTTTCATGTTATCAAAATCTTGATGAATTCTTTTTGCTTGAGATTCTTTTACTGAATCTGATTTTTCCGTATTTGTCATCAGTCTTGCAGCAGTTGCCAAGAAGCGGCCTCTGCATTATAGCCGTGTTCTCCCTGCACTACTTGGGTTTGATTCGGATACATGTAAAGGAGGTCATTCTGTGAGCATTCAACATTCCCTAAAGACTTCCTTCTTGGGATTTTTGAAGTGTACACATCCAGTTGTCTTGTCGGTAAAGTTTTCTGTTATCTTTACTGCATCAGTTCCTTCTGGATTCCATTTCTTACATTCTGCTTAAGATTCTGGCTTATGCTTTTATATTGCATGCTGCCCATCTTGAATAAGAATCTGGCTCTGGTGCCCATCTTGATTAATGCATCACCTATCTATACCGAATAGTTTCCTATTGAGGAAACATGTACTAACATTTCTCGTAGTAGCTTATGTTAAAGTACTTAAGAGTCTTTAACCCCTTTTGAGTCTTAAACCCCTTATGCTATATGTCGTCCCCTATGGGAATGTTATTCTTAACCAACAGCTTCTTAAAAGCCTCCACTTTCAGAGATTGTATGCTGGAATGTTTTGGCCCTTTGTGTACTTTCATGCTTCAATGCTTGAACGGAACATGGTGAGTCTTGAGGCATAATGTGTCTGCAAGAAAAGACTGCATCTGGGTGGCCTATCTTTCTCATCTTTATATCTGACACTTGGTTTAAGGAAATTGGATCCATTTCTTTTAGACAATCTCGATAGAGTATAATGTAAGTTCATTTGAATTTCTCTAAATTCTGTGATAGAGATTACCCATTTCTAATGTTTGTTTTTCTCTAGCTGCAACATGCGGGTGCCTGTAGTACAAAACTGGTATTTCTTAGAAATATCTGGAGCAACGGCCTTGTTCATTTCATATAGGTTTTGCAGTGCGATAGTACTGGTTGTGGCATGATCTTGTCATAGGGATGGGATGATCCTATCTACTTTAATTAACTCTTTTATTTTTTTATTTTTTTCCCATTTCCAGTCACGCGATCGATTGCTTGTAGCATTACGAGCAATAAATGCTGGAGACGTCGCTGATCAAGTCGTAAGACAAGTAGACAGAATGGTTAAATATGCTGAGCGAACGGCAAGGGATTTACGTTTTGGAAAGGTAGTTCATTTTGAGTTTGAAGAATTCTTGTCATCATAGGTAATAGTAAGAAACTGATCTGTTAATCTATTTACCGAACTTGTCACCCTCAAAAAAAAAGAAATAAAAGAAACTGTACTTTTTATATTACTCTTATTAAAACTGAACTTTCGATGCTTATTCTCAAAAAAAAAGACTGAACTTTCTATGCTTCTTTATTGTGCAATGGAATGCATGTCTTTATGGACTAATATTTGACTTCTGGTGCTCTGCTATAGGACGAACTTCTTGCAGGCGATCCCATTAGGAAGAGGCCCTTGGCTCCTGATGATGGGGCTGACACCAATAATGATGATATACCTGCAAAACGTACTCGACTTGACTTATTATCATCTCCTGATCAACCTTCTCAATTGATTAATGATCAACTCCCAGATAGTGGTCTAATAAATGGAACTTCTGGACCAGCCTCTTTGCTGGGAAGTGAGATGACTCCTGTCCAACAAATGATTGCCATGATCGGGGCTCTACTTGCAGAAGGAGAAAGGGGTGCCGAGTCCTTGGAGATTCTAATTTCAAAGATACATCCAGATTTGTTAGCTGATATAGTCATGGCTAATATGAAATACCTCCCTAAGGGTCCCCCACCTTTATCTACTCGGCTTGCGAACTCACAGGCAGCATCGCCATGGCCTCCAGGTCTTGCCTCAGATCTAATACCATCATCTGGACCAGCTTCAAGTAGCTTGAACTCACCATCTTTGGATGCATGTGCTTCTCCAAGCCTTCTCTCCGACTCAAAGCGTGATCCTCGGAGGGTAGATACACCAACTTCAAATCATATATGAATTTCAGAGTAACGCAATTCTTGTACTTGTCCCATTTCCAAAATGTTTTAAACAGTGGCCTTCTATGACTTTATTAGTTGAACTGAGATGCACTTGCACTTGTTTAGGACCTCCGTCGCTTGGACCCACGACGCATATCAACACCTTCTGGAACGCAATTAGCTTCTATGAAGACTGAGGATGTGAGTGATGTGCAAACTGGCTCGAATGGTTCTGGTTCTTTGAGTACACCTCCGACTTCCCCTGTTGTGACAATAGATGAAGAAAGGGCGGAGCCCTTGGTAGACAGAGTTGAACCCGGGTCCTTAGATGGTGCTATTGCTTCTCCAATCGGCAATATCACTGCTAAAGAAAAGTTAGAACCTATTCACGAAGATCTTGAGGTAGAGCCTGTTTCAGAACTTCCTAGTTCTTCAGATTTGACAGTTTCATCGCTTAGTACGAATAATGAAACTCATCATCCCAAATTGGATGAGACTGAAGTTGATGATGGTAAGGATGCTTCTTGTCTCAAAGAATCTGATGAAAATTCTTCTGCTGTCCCAACCACACCAACATGTGAAGAGATTCCCCATGAGTTGCCTGAGCTTCCCCCAATTGTGATTTTGACGGAGGAACAGCAAGAGTCACTGACCAAGACTGCTGTTTCACGGATAATTGAGGCATATAGGCAAGTTCGTCTGACTGGTAGCAGTCATATTCGCCTTGCGTTACTTGCTCGTTTGGTTGCTCAGGTGAGGCACAGAGAGAAGCCTTTTCAATAGCTGTCATATTTATCCAAATGTTTCTATATCTCTTGAATAAGTTGTAGACCATTGTTATTGCTTATAGGGTACATAACTCTCTTTCTCTAAATGATATACTGGCAGCAGTGTTTGGAAACTTGCTGAATTGGGCTCAGACCTGGCAGGGTGCTGGGTCCCATGAGAAAAAACCTTGGGAACCGGCCGGGTCCCAGTTCCTGAGGTCACTATTATTTTTACTTAAGACTCAGCTTAGTTAGATTGGCTGACTCATGGTCAGGCCCTGCCAGTTCCAAGCCCGATTCCGTGTTTGCAATCACTGTCTGGGAGGGTTCGCTTTTTAATTTCCTTTTCTATACTCACTGAAAATTTCTATTAAGGCCCCCTTAATCTTTATGTTATTTTGAAATTGTTTGTAATATTTAATTTTCATGAGCTTAATCTGAGTCATATCTTCTGATATACAT